GAGCCTCTGGTGGATTCGAACTGCCAGAGGCACTTGGCCTTTGGGTTAGCAGCACTACTCCTATGCACTATGCCACCAGGGCTGCCAGTGGAAAGCAGGCCATGGGGCAGGACTTCATTCCCAGCGTGATGGAACCCCTAGATGGTGGCGTGATGACACTAGCAATTGTAGATGGCTACCTTGAGCCCTTACGAAAAAGCCAGGTGCTTATTAAACCTTTGAAACACATTAAGTCATTTAATCCTCACAAGCAATCCTACCAAGGACGTTCTTTAAGATTCTTGTTTGAAAGATAAGGAAACCCAAGGGTCAGAGAGGTTAAACCACTGGCCTGAGATGACATGAATTTAAAACCCACTTGCCTTGTTGTGGGACAGTGGATTCCAGAGGACGAGATGAGTCTGCACAAAAGATGACAGAGATGAGTTTGCACTGGAGTTACTGAGAATGAAAGAATGGTCACCAGGTGTTGGGCAGGGCCCAGGGGGTTACTGGAGTTCAAAGAAATAGCAGGTCAGCACTTTAGCACTTCCTCCCCCAGCGGCTATTAGCACTTTCTTTGTTCCCCTCTGACACCAGTTTGGCCTTACTTCTTTGTAGTCTGTGTCCCTGGTCATCAGGCTGCTGTCCCCATCGGTTCTGACTCACAGAGCCCCACGCACAGCAAACGCTACCCAGTCCTGTATCATCTTCACAACTGTCGCTCTGTCTGAGCCCATTGTGGAAGCCACCGTGCCAATTCAACTTGTTGATAGTCTTCCTCTGTTTCACTGACTCATTTAACAAGCCGTAATAATAAACCGTCATAATAAACCGTCAACTATTGGGTACTGAGTCACAATCAACTCGATGGCAGTGAGAGTGGCTGTTGTTAGGTGCCGTCGAGTCAAGTACAGACTCGGAGATGTATCATGTTTAGCACATAACAAGTTGCGGTTAGACGTAGCTAAATCTGTTCCAACTCATAGCGACCTTATTCCCATCAGAACAAAACACTGTCCAATCCTGTACCATCTTCATAGTCTCAGCTTGGTTTGAGCTCACTGTTGTAGCCACAATGGCACTTCATCTCCTTGAGGGTCTTCCTCTTTTTGCTGACCCTCTGTTTTTGTTTTTGGGTTGTGTTTTTTTGTTTTAATTCATTTTAATGTAAGTTTACAAAGGCTTAGGGTTTCCAGTCATTCATTGTTGCACTTTTCTCCCTCTCCCCATGCCCCCAATTCACTCTTCTGCTTGAAAAGAAAGAAAGAAAAACTCTTTCATTGTTATGCAATCCCTCCCCCAAGTTCACTCCATTGTGCAGCCTTCACTCTGGACTCCTGTCATGACAATAATACCCAATCATATATCCCTTTCAAACAGTTCTTTCCCTCATCTGTTTCAATGCTATATTGCTATAATATTCTTCCCCTCCTTTTCTGTCTTCCCTCAACCCCAATGTCAATCCTGTTTTACAACAGTGGCCCTATGCGATATTTGTACTTTTGTGACTAAGATATTTCACTCAGCATAATGTCCTCCAGGGTCACCCATTTTGAATAGTATTTCTTGAATTCCTTGTTTTTCAATGCTGCCTAATATTACATTATGTGAATATACCAGAGCTTCTCTATCCTTTAATTTGTTGATGGGCACTTAGGTTGTTTCCAGCTCTTTGCTATTGTGAACAAAGCCTCAATAAACACGAGTGTGCATACTGACCCTCTGTTTACCAAGCATGATGCCCTTCTCTAAAAGGTGGTCCCTCCAAAGGAAGGCAAAAGCTTGCCATTCTCTCTTGCAAGGAGCACTCTGGTGTGCTTCTCCCAAGTCAGGTTGATTTGTTCTTCACAGTATGGTCAGTGGTTCTTCAACACCATAATTCAAGTGCATCAATCCTTTCCTCTACCTTCCTCACTGTCCAGAAATTCATGTAGACTCCAGAAGAGACCATGGGAATGTGGAATATCATTGCCAACATCAGATCAATCTTGGATGAAAGGAGACAATCCTAGAACAATGTTTACCTGTGTTTCATTGACTTATACAAAGGCATTCAACTGTGGATCAAAACTGATTATGAACAACATTGGGAAGAATGGGAATTCCAAAATAATTACTACTCTCATGTATATTTTGGAGTCAGGAGTGGCATCCACTTCCTAAAAAACATGCCTCTGGAAACTCTATGAACTTTGATAAATGATGACAGTTATAAAAAGGCGTCAGGCCTTTTGTTCATAGGGTCACTATGAGTTGTGCTCAACTCGAAGGCAATCAACAACAACAAAATGTATATTACCTGAACAATCCCAGTTATTCTTCCAATAACCTTAAATTTTGTTTCTCTTTTAGGATGAAGATCTGAAGCTCCAGTAACCTGTTCAGAGTTACATACTTAAGAATTGGTAACACAGGATTTGAACCCTGGCCTGTCAAACACAAGAAGCCAAGCATTTTGCTAATAAGTTACAAAAATTTACTTTCAATAAAATAAAATAACCTCACTTTCCATTCTTTCATGAATAGTCTATTGGTTTCCCAAGAAGAGTCCAGCTAACGAGGTTCATAGTAGCAATGACTTCACAGAGGTCTCATTGAGTCTCTTTGGTTTAGAATGGCCTGATGAGGTTTGGTTTGAGTTTCTTTTTTTTTTTAATTTTATTATTTTTGTGTGTGTGTACCATCAAATCAGATCTGACTGGTACAGGAGGAGATTGTCCCTCCTTCCCCAGCAGAGCATCTGGTGGATTCCAACCGTTTGCCTCTGGAATTGTAGTTGCAGCTCCTTGCCACTAGGCCACCAGAGCTCCCCTGGTTTGAGTTTCTTAAGGCTTAAGACCCTGGTGGTTCAAATGCTCAGCTGCTGCTAACCAACCATTTGTCAGTAGAAAGTTGCAGTAGTCTGTTTCCATAAAGATTCACAATCTTGAAACTCTACAGTGCAGTTTTCCGTGTCTCAAATGACACTGATGCCTTTGAGTTGTGGTGCTGGAGAAGAGTATTGAACATACCATGGACCACCAAGAAAACAAATAGACCTGCCTTGGAAAACGTTAAACTGTTTCTCCTTGCAGGCTTGGATTTTGAAGCTCTGTCTCACATACTTTGGGCACGTGGCCAGAAGGGAACGGTCCTTGGACAAAGACATCATGCTCAGAAGGGTGGATGGATAGTGCAGGAAAGGAAGACCCCAGATGAGATGGATTGATACAGTAACTGGGGCAATGGGGGTGGATGTGTCAGAGCCAGTGTGACTGGCTCAGGGCAGGGCAGGGTTTGAGCTGTTGTGTATATTACTTGACAGCACATAACAACAACAACAACAACAGAGGACACTGAATCAGAATCAACTCAATGGTGACAAGTTTGGTTTGGGGTTAAGAAGGTTGAGTGAATTAACCTCGCTCTTAATGTGACCAGATGTCCTGGTGACCAGATGATTTGCTGAGTCTGAGAGGGTTTTAAAATAGGAAAGTTCTTGCCAAACCAGGATGAGTCACTTGGTCACCCTACCCCAGTAAGAGAGTTCTGAAGGCCTAGTGGTAAGAAGCTGTCCTGCAATCCTGCTCGAGGGTCAGCCATGGGTGGGTCTGACTCAACCACACACAACTGTCCAGCGGAGAGCTTGGTGCTCAATGGACATAGTCCATTATGGCTTCCTCTTTCCCTTATCCGTTGACAATTAAAAAAGTCCTACCTGGGTCCTGTCCTAGAAGCCTGGAATACTGTAGACAGTGATGAAAAGAAATGGTCAAGCATCTAGAACCAACAGTACACCAGAAGAATCCAGAAGCCCTGGGGCAACTCCAAATATCCTCTTCAGCTGTCCCTGGTCCCTGCACCATAGTTTTTCACCTCCTGGGTTGCAGTACAAACTTGAATCGAGGCGAGAGAGCCCCTTAAGGTCCCAGGTAACAACAAAGACAGCGGAAGGCCTCAGCCCACACTGTGGGTTAAGGGAAGGGGGAAAACAGCGCCTTAGTGACTTTGCGCTTTGCTCTGGGCTGCTATAAAGGCCTAAGAGGCAGTCCCTATCACTAGTACCTTTTGCTTGCCAAGGAAACTGAGTCCTCAGTGGGGAGGGAAGTTAAGATTTGAACGAAGGGCCCAGCAAAACTGCGATTGTTGAGGCGAGGGACCGCTCCTACACTTCCTCTCTCTCTCGCCCTGCTCCAGTCCCCCACTTGTCTCGACCTCGGCCGGGCTTGTCTTGGGCCGGCTCTGCACAGTCCTCCCCCCACCCCTCCTGGCTGCCAGCGTCCCGCCCTCTCCCCTCCCAGCCCCCGAGGGAGGAGGGGAGTAAGGGAGCAAGAAGGGGGGCTAGGGAGGCTAGACTTTATAAGGGCGCTGGGAGCTCAGAGCCTGCCAGACCCCGCCGGCCAGATCCCCGCGCTGCAGCCGCCCACGTGATCACGTCGACCCCCCCTGCACCCCGACTCGGAGAGTGGAGGTGCATCTCTACCTTCCCCTATCCCCCCGCAACCCCGGACCCTCAGCGAGCTGCAGCCGCGTGGCCTACTGAATCAGGGTATGGTGAGGGTGGGCGCTGCCTTGGGGGCACCCGGTAGAAGCCTGCAGGTAGGGTTTAGGACCCGAGGGAGCCGGGCCTCCCTGGAGCCCCGGGGGCTGCCCGCTCAGCTGCCCCCGAGCAGGGCCTGGGAGACCGCGAGCTGCCCCCCAGGAATGCGCGTGCAGCGGTTGCCACGGCAACGTGCAAGCGCGCGCCCGCCCTGAGCTAAAAGGAAGGGAAAGATGGGGGGGGCTGGTTTCCCGGAGGTCCAGACCCGTCACGCGGCGGTTGCACAAGGGACCCGGGGACGCCCTTCCCCGGATCCTCCAGTGTATCCACGCCTCTCCGAGCCTCAGTTTCCCCTCTGCCAAATGGAGGCAATGCTATTACTGACAAGTTTCCCGGAGAGTTCTCTCCAGACTACGGATCTGGGCCAGCCCCTCCGGGTGGGACGCCCGAGGGGTGAGAGGGGTGGGCTTCAGCCGCCCTCCTGACTCGCGCGACCCCCGCCCCAGGCCTGCTCGCCATGGCCCTTTTCGGGGCCCTCTTCCTAGCGCTGCTGGCAGGCGCACACGCGGAGCTCCCGGGCTGCAAGATCCGAGTCACCTCCAAGGCGCTGGAGCTGGGTGAGGCCGAGGGGACAGGGGGACAGGGGGCTGGGTGAGGCCGAGGGGACAGGGGGACAGGGGGCTGGGTGAGGCCGAGGGGACTGGGGGTCAGGGGGGCTGGGCCGAGAGGACAGGGGCCAGGGGGCTGGGTGAGGTCGAGAGGACAGGGGTCAGGGGGCTGGCGCTGGCCGGCGGGGGTGCCGGCCCTAAGGGTCCGGCTGCTGCCTCAGTGAAGCAGGAGGGGCTGCGCTTCCTGGAGCACGAGCTGGAGACCATGATGATTCCAGACCTTCGGGGCCGCGAGGGACAGTTCTATTACAACATCTCCGAGTGAGTGAGGGGCCCGGGGCGGGGCCTGGACGGGAAGGCGGGGCCTGAGTATCCTGCGACTCTATGTACAAGAGCCCTAATCCTGTGCCAACCTCACTGTCTCTGACACACCTACTCCTATTACTGCTATCACTGACTCGATCCCTCTCATCGAGGGTCTTCCTCTCTTGCGCTGTCCCTCCACTCTCCCAAATATGATGTCCCTCTCCAAGGAATGGTTCCTCCTTGCAACATGCCCAAAGCATGTCAGAAGAATCCTTGCCTCCAGGGAGCAGACCGGTTTCACCCTCTCTAGGACAGACCTGTTTGTTCTCTTATCAGTCCATGGATATTCAACACTCTTCTCCAGCACCACTTTTGTTGTTATGTACCGCCGAGTCGCTTGCGACTCATAGTGACCCTATATACAAAAGACCTAATTCCTGCTCTATCCCGTGCCAATCTCATTATCTCCGACACACTAACACGATAATCCCAGTCACTGAATCAATCAATCCATCCCATCGAGGGTCTTCCTCTCCTGCGCTGTCCCTCTCCAAGGACTGGTTCCTTCTTGCAACATGTCCAAAGTATGTCAGACAAAGCTTCAGAATCTTGCCTCCAAGGAGCAGCCTGTTTTAACTCTCTCTAGGGTGAACCTGTTTGTTCTCCTATCAGTCCATGGTACATTCAACACTCTTCTCCAACACCACAGCTCAAAGGCATCAATTCTCCACCGTTAAATGAATAAAAAATATAGAAAGGAATAGAATGAGGCCAAGGAGAGCAACGTCAAGCCTACCCATTTAGTTTGGACTAAGCAGGTGGGCGTAACCTATAAAGTGTGGGAGTTAGAAGGATAAAGCAGGACCAATAGTATTGAGGCATAGCAGCACGTAAGCTAGGATCCCACCCAGTCAGAAATAAAGACCTCAGGCTTGGTTAGGAAGATGGATGAAACTTAAATAGTGGATTTGAAGTCAAAGAGGCAGTTAAAAGGACCAATCAAGCAACTCCAAGATGTGAGATGGGAGTGGGTACCAGCAACAGGACTTCCAAGAGATAGGGCAAAGTTCAGCTTTAGTGCCTGGGTAAAGACAAGCTAATCTCTGTCTGAGTCCGGATCAGGCACAAGGGCCTGAGGAAATGAGACGAATATTAAAAAAAAAAAAGTGAACAGGGTAAGGGGGAAAGGCGAGGGAGGGGGTAAAATGTGCAAGGATGAATAAATGAAAAATCTAAACTTTCATTAAAATCACAATTAAAATTTTAAAAATTATTTAAAAAATCATTCCATCAACCAACTTTTCAGCTTAGACCAGAAGAGGAGAAAATGACCTTCCCATCTTTGGGCTAGTCCACTTGGCCCTGGAGGATGGTGAAGGGTCTAGCCTAAGGCTCTTTTGAAGGACTCTTGAACTTGGATCTGACTCAAGAATGTCCCCCTGCAGGGTGAAGGTCACAGAGCTGCAGGTGACTTCCTCTGAGCTCCATTTCTACCCGGAGCAGCAACTGGTCCTCCAGATCACAAACGCCTCCCTAGGGATGCGCTTCCGGAGACAGCTGCTCTACTGGTTCTTGTGAGGATCCCCAGACGGGGAGGGGCTGGGCCAGAAGGGGTGCTTGGCCTTACAGGGTCTCCTTTTCTTCTGTACAAAAGGAGTGATTGGAGGGTTTCTTATATCTGGGAGACTGAAGCTTTATTGTAATAAGCACGGAGGTGGAGAGGGAGCCTGTGAAGACCAGTTAAGCTCCCTGCTGGAGTGAGCTTATCTCACACTCATTGGCAGCTATGATGGGGGCTACATTAACGCCTCGGCCGAGGGCGTGTCCATCTACACTGCCCTGCAGCTCTCCCGGGACCCTTCTGGTCAGATCAAGTTGTCCAACATCTCCTGCCAGGCCTCTATCTCCAAAATGCACGCGGCCTTCGGAGGAACCTTCAAGTAAGCTCCACCCTCAACCCCAACCCCTATTCCCTCCCAGTCCCATAGCCCATGTGTCTAGTGTAATACAGAGTGCACAAACTTGGGGGTCAGACCAACTGAGTCCAAGTCCTGGCTCCCCCATTTTCCTGCCTGCAAGTCATTGAAGCTCTGTGCCTCGATTTCTTCAGCTGTGAAATGGGTGTAATAGTTGCTAATCGTGTCTAGTCAGAACTAACTTGTAGCTGACCCTCCTTGGGTTTCTGGGGTTGTAAGTCACTGCGGAGGAGACTGCCCATCTTTCTCCTTCAGAACTGTTGGTGGTTTCTTGGCCAATGGCTTAGCACAACTCCAGTGGACTATGTCACCAAAACCCCCTGCGACAATAAGATAGATCTCGTTTTAGAAAGTAATTGTGAGGGTAGGTTGAGGTGATCTATGTAACTATATTTAGTACAGTACCTGGCATCTAACAAATGCTTATCAGAGTGATAACCAATTAGAGTAATTGTGAAGATTAGTGTGTGTACTGTTAAATATGTCATGAGTTTCTTAGAAATTGGCAGTTCCAAATAATGATGAAGGAACCTTCATGGCATAGTGTGTTACTTGCTGGACTGGTAACTAAAAGGTTGGTAGTTCAAACCCACCAGCCAGTTTGTAGGAGAAAGCTGAGGCAATTACAGATTGCCTTACAGATTTACAACCTTGAACATCCAATCGAAGGTCACTACAAGTCCGAATCAACGGGAGTAGAGTTAAAAATAACAAAAACAGTGACATAGTTTTTGGGCAGCAGGCTGAAAAGGATGTGCTGGTCCTGGAAGATGGGGGGGGGTATCATCTGATGTCAATTTTTACTTATTCAGCAAAGTATATGCCAGACCCTGAGTGTTCCTGAAGGAGCTCAGAGCCTCACTGGAGGGGCAAGACATTTATCATCAGAGCTTTGAGAGAGGGACCAAGAAGGGATTGTTCGGAGGAGTGACCTGGGAAGGCTGCTTGGAGGAGGGTTTGCATTTACCTGGCCCACCTTGTCTCCCCACAGGAAAGTGTATGACTTCCTCTCCTCCTTCATCACCTCAGGGATGCGCTTCCTCCTCAACCAGCAGGTAAGGGTAGTCGCAAGGCAGGGGGGCAGCGGGATAGGCGTGGTCTCTCCCAGAAGGCCCTGACTCTGGCCCCACCTTCCAGATCTGCCCGGTGCTCCACCATGCAGGGTTGGTGCTGCTCAACTCCCTCCTGGGCACCGTGCCTGGTGAGTGGGGTGCTGGGGACTGGAGTGGGGTGGGGGAAAGGCTGGAGTCCTGCAGTCCTGCAAAACCTCAGAGTGGCCTCCTTGCAAGCCCTTCTGGTGACCAGCCCTAGTGTCTTAGTCCTTCAGTCCTGCTGTAGCACAGACACCGCAAGCAGAAATTCAGTGCACAGCTGCCATATTATATTGTTGTTGTTGTTAAGTGCCTCCAAGTCATTTGTGACTCATAACAACTCTGTTTGCAACAGCCCTGAGCCCTGCTCTATCCTGTGTCAGCCTCATCACCCCCGACACACTCACCCCCATTACCCAGTCACTGAGTCAATCCATCTCATGCAGGGTCCACCTCCCTTGCACCCTTCCCAAGCATGATCTCCCTCCCCAAGTACTAGTTCCTCCTTACAACATCACATACGTGTATTTTGGGGGTAGACGTGGGTTCCAATCTGGCCTTCGCTGTGTACTTTCTGGGAGGCTTCACGTCAGTATTTCTGGCAGCCTTGGTTTCCTTGGCTAGCTTGTAATTTCCCCTCTCCCAGGACTACTGTGATGATTAACTGACCGAAGACATTTCAGTGTGTCCTTTCTGACCATTGGGGACCCCTGTGTGCATCACCTGGCACTTAATAGTTGCTCAAATGATATGAATTCCTTTCTTTTAAGCAATGATCTCTGTTATAGGGTTGAAATCATGTCCCATCACACCCCACACAAGCAGAAAAGGGAAGGTAGGCAGGGGAATTGACAATGAGAAAAGGGAATCCTTGGCAGTTTTATATGTAAAAATTGCAACCGTCCTAAAGGAAGCTACCATTGTTGAGCGTTTACTGCAAACCAGGCACTAAGTGCTTTACGCTTTTTAAAAAACAATTTTATTAATTTTAATGAACGTTTACAGAGACTTTGGATTTCCATTCATTCATTGTTGCATTTTTCTCCCTGCCCACTCCTCTCCCACCCCAGTTTGCTCTTCTTTTTGAAAAGTAAAAGAAAAATTATTTCATTAGTATACAATCCCTCCCCGAGTCCACTCCACTATGCAGTCTTCATTCTGGACTCCTGTCATGACCATAATACCTAATCATATATCGCTTTTTTTTTTCTACATATATCACTTTTAAACTGTTCTCTCCCTCATCTGTTTCAATGCAGTATGCATAATCCATTTATCCAGTTTTTCTCAGTCTCACCCCAACCCTGATGTCAGTCCCGTTCTACAACAGTGACACTATGCAGTATATGTTCTTTTGTGACTGAGATATTTCACTCAGCATAATGTCCTCCAGGCTCACCCATTTTGAATAATATTGCATGAGTTCCTTGTTTTTCAATGCAGCGTAATATTCCATTGTGTGAATATACCACAGCTTCTCTATCCATTCGTTTGTTGGTGGGCACTTGGGTTGTTTCCAGCATTTTGCTATTATGAACAAAGCCGCAATAAACATGGATGTGCATAAGTGCTTTACATTTAAAATTAATCCCCATAACCGCCCTGTGACGGATAGACACTTATCACCATTGTGTGGATGAGGCACTGAAGCTCAGAGAGGCTAAGCGTCTTCCCAGAGGTCACACAGCATTGAGGGACTCGCTCTTTCCCCAGTGCGCAGCCCTGTGGATGAGCTCATTGGCATTGACTACTCCCTCTTGAAGGATCCTGTGGCCTCTGCCAGCAATCTGGACATGGAATTCCGGGTGAGCTGGCAGATAATCTGCTGTGACTTCCAACCTCCTAACCAAACTCTGACCTCTGACCTCCTAACCAGATTCCCTCTTGCCTCTTCCTCTTTTTGGCTTTTTCTCCAATGAGGCTACTCCATCAGAATGCGGTATCTCCCTTTGCTCAGAGAATTAGCTGCAGTCTCTCTGGTCGGGCATTCCAGCCTTCTTAATCTTATCTGGCTCAACCTTTTAAACTGTGCTCTGTTTCTCAGAAGCTTTTCTTTCCAGCAAATACGCCTTTATTCATTCGGTTTTCAGTCCTTTTCCAATCCCCCATGAAAGAGTTGGACAGAAAATTCTATGCACGTCAGCTCAGCTCATTATCCCACAGCCCCAAGTCAGGTACTAACAGATCCCCATTTTAGAGATGTGGGATTTGTTCGGAGAAGTGAAATCACTTGGCCCGCACCACACAGCCGGTGTGTGGCCAGCTTCGCTCACGAGCGCTCTCCAGCCCTCCTCCTCATGGCATGTCCAGGGGCCTCTCATTTTATTGCTCTGTGCTTTATCATCCCTTGCAGGTAATGAATTTTTATTTTATTTATTTTTTTAAGAACTGAAGGTCTGCAGTAACTCTGCACCCAGCAACTCTATCCACACCATCTTCCCAACCATTTTGTCATATCATCTTCTCATTTTGTTATCTCTTTGTCACATTTTGGGAATTTTAAATTTATTTTATTATATTTTGTGCGTGTACCGTCAAATCAGATCTGACGTAGACTATAGTATAATGTAAGCATGGTTGTTGGGTTTTTTAAGCACCGAGAAACCAAAAATGTTGTGTGATCCACTCTCCTGCAATATTAGCTTTCTTGCCATGGCCTGGAATGGAATCGTCAATAGCTCTGAAATCAGCCTGTAGCAGTTTCAGAGCATAAATGTTGGAGACAGAATTCTGGGTTCAAGTCTGGGTTTGATCTTTCAGCACCTTTTGCTTAATGCTGCTATTAGGTGTCAGTCATTGAGTCAATTCTGACTCCTAGTGACCCTATGTGACAAGGCAGAACTGCCCCTCCCCCAGGGTTTTTGAGCCTATAATCTTTGTCGAAGCAGATTGCCAAACCCTTCTCCTTTGGCATCTCTGGGTGTGTCCTTTAAGTTGACAGCTGGGCACTTAACCATTGCACCACAAAGGCTCCCTTGTTTCCGGATAAGTCTATTTGTAGATTAGTCATATAGGCTAAAGGAATTGATCATTGTAAAGGGATTAAGCAATTACTCTAACAATCCTGTAACAATTACTCCATACACAATAAATATGAGGCAATATGGTAATGAAGTAAATATGGTTCGGTGCTGAGGGAGACCCAGGCTCAATCTCTGGGTAATCTTCATCATGTGCAGCCCCCACCTGATGGTGTATGATGCTAAGACGGTTTCAGCAGTGCTTTCGGACTAAGACTAGGAAGAAAGGCCTGGAGATCTGCTTCTAAACTCAGCAGATGAAAACCTTATGGAACTCGACAGTCCAGTTCGTAACCAGTCAGGGGTATGGCCTAGGACTGGGCATAATTTTGTTCTGTCATGTCTCTCTGAGTTGGGATCAATTTCATGGCAACTAGTAACAATAAACAGCGCTTATTATTATTACCCTTGCCACCCAGCTTTCAGGAGGCCGCCTCTTCTGTGAAATCTGTCCTGATCCCTCACCAGCAGGATGGGATCCCCCATCAGTGGTACGGGATCCCCCACCAGTGCAATGAGATCCTTATGGCAGCCCAGGTGCCCTTTTTTCAGTGCCTTTTTTTTTTTACTGTGTGTGTACCATCAAATTGGATCTGACAGGTACAGGAAGAGATTGCCCCTCCTTCTCCAGCAGAGCATCTGGTGAATTCAAACTGAGTACCTCTGGGATTGCAGTGCAGCTTCTTGCCACTAGGCCACCAGAGCTCCCTTTTTTCAATGCCCTTTTAAGAGATGTGCTTGTGAGTCCCTCAAAGGTAGCACTTGGGTTCAACCCCTCACACTCTCCCGCGACACCTGGGAGCCACCTGCTGTCATTCTGTGCCCTGAGCTGGTGTACCATGACCATGACCCCCAACTCCAGGGGGCCTTCTTCCCTTTGGCCGACAGGAACTGGACCATGCCCAACAGGGCAGTGGAACCCCAGCTGCAGGAGGAGGAGCGGATGGTGTATGTGGCCTTCTCCGAGTTTTTCTTTGACACAGCCATGGAGAGCTACTTCCGGGCGGGGACACTGCGGCTGTCACTGGAGGGGGACAAGGTACAACAGGATCCATGTAAGAAGGCGGGGTAGGTCAAGAAAGGGCCTATGACAGAGCTGCAGGTAACCTCATTCACCCTCCCCTGTCCAGGTGCCCCACGATCTGGACATGCTGCTGCGGGCCTCCTATATTGGGAGCATCGTCCTTCTGGTGAGCACTGGTGGGAGGTAGAGACACGCTCAGGGCAAGGTGTGGCACGTGCCACCTAGACCCCCAGGTGTCCTCAGGTCATCACCCAGTGAGGGGTCAGGGACCAGCCCCAGAAGCAACCAGGGAGTAGAAAGAGGGCTTGGCCTCGGGGCCATGATCGAGTCTCCTCACACTAAGCTGTTTCCAAGTCTGTGTTGGCTCTGGGATTTGAACCTGGTTTAGGAGTCTGGGTTTGAATGCCCCTGGCTTTCCACTCTCCAGCATACAACCCACGGAGTTGCGATGAGGATTAAATCAACATATGTCAAGCAATTAGAACAGAGTGAGTTCTGCTACAGAGCACCTGACACAGAGTTCATGCCCAATAAACTTGAGCTGATGTTATTACCATCATCATAATCATCGTCAAGAAACTTTTGACCAAGTGATTAATGCTTGCACTCTGTTGCCAGATTGCCTGGATTGGAATCCCAGCTCTGATGTTCCTAACTACCCATCTTTGGACAAGCTCTTTAATCTCTGTGCCAAAACTCTGTCAAATGGGGATAATCACTGTGCCTGCTTCACAGTCGATTGTGTAATCTGGGAGAGCTGACACCTGTGATATTTTAGAATCATGCCTGGTGACAGGTAAACATTTGGTCAACATCAGCTATTAGGATTCTCGTAATGCTTCTAGGGAGCTCTGGTGGCACTGGTGGTAAGACGCTGTGCTGCAATCCTGAAGGCTTGCGGTTCTAATCCACCAGCTGTTCCACAGGAGAAAGATGGGCAATCACTTCCCCTACAATTCATTGTTGTTACGTGCCATTGGGTCGCTTGTGACTCATAGCGACCCTATGGACAACAGCTCTGCACCCTGCTCTATCGTGAGCCAACCTCATTGTCTCGGACACACCTACTACCTCCAATACCTGCACAATTTACTGTCTCTGAAAACCCACTGGGGAGTCAGTGATGGGTCAATTCCAATCCAGCGGTACTGATTCAATGGTAATAGGTGAGTTATTGAGGCTTCTTGTTTAAAGAATTTCAAATGGCAAGAATGTAAGAAAGCTTCCACAGCAAGTGGTGAGACAGGACTGGGTTCAGGAGTCAGAACAACCCTCAGCCTAGGTGTATCATGACATGAACCTCACTTGCCCCTGTTGAATGATAGAAGGAGGTGGGGATACTTGCCTTTTCTTTTCATCCCAGGGTACTTATATATGAAATTAGTAAGGAAGCAAAATATATGCTTATTATTTCAATTTCTGACATACAGGGTTTGTGCTGTAATCGTTTTCAATCAACTCAATAATATTAACAAAAATCCATGTATAACGTTTAGGAAATCAGGTTGATACAGTACAAATCCCAGCTTGCATTTGGGGGGACAAAACAAGAATGTAAGAAAGCAAATAGGAGGGAGGCATTCCTAGAAGTTCTACGATGAGGACAAAGGCTCGGGATTGCAGCTCTGGGAAGATGATGGAAGTCAGACTAGAATGCGTATTTGGCAGACCCTGGGTGCCCAGAGGGCAAAGTCTGTGTCGCGCCCCCTCCTGGGGACTCATGAGGGAGCAGGTCTGGGATCTAACTCGTCCTTCTCACCCTCAGAACCCAGCAGTCATCGATTCTCCGCTGAAGCTGGAGCTGCGCGTCACGGCGCCTCCACGCTGCACCATCAAACCCTCGGGCACCACCATCTCTGTCACTGCCAGTCTCACCATCGCCCTGGTTCCACCTGACCAGCCCGAAGTCCTGATGACCAGCATGATCATGGTGCGGCCGCCAGAGCGGGGGCAGCCCAGAGTCTGGGAGGAGTGAGCTGTGCACCCCTCTGGTCAGTAACCCTCTCCCCGTTTGCCCACAGGATGTGCGGCTCAGCGCCAAGATGGCACTCCGGGGGAAGGCGCTGTGCACGAAGCTGGACCTGAGCAAGTACGCAGATGCCCAATGGCTCTGGGCAAGCCCTGGTCCTCCGGCCTCTGTGCCTTCAGAATAGTCACGGAATGCCATCACTGCAAGCATAGTGCTTGATGACAGCAGAACGTCCCTGCATTCTCTCACAACTCTGAGGGCAGTCAGTGCAGGTGTCCCAGGAGCAAGCTGGCTCCCTGAGGTCAAATGACAGGCCCACGACTATGTAGTGTCTGTGAGGAAATGGGGCAGAAACCTCAGCACAGTTTAGCAGCTTAGGGACCTTGAGGCAAGTCACATGATCTACCTAAGCCTAATTTCTTCATCTGTTAAATACAGGTACACATAACACCTACTCTCTGGGGCCGTGCTGCCCAGTATGGTAAACATTAGCCACTATTAAGATTAAATAGTCCGCCAACACACTGGCCATGCTTGAAATGCTTCATAACCACACGTGGCTGAAAACGAAACCACATCAATTGCCATCGAGTCGACTCTGACTCCTAACCCCACATGTGTCTAGAGGAGCATGATTTTCTCAGCTATAGATTGCTGGGCTTGTCTCTCCAGGCACCTTCGGTGGATTCAAACCAAGTAGTGGCACCATATTGTAGAGTGCAGAACCCGAACATTCCACAGCCAGTGCCCTTGGACAGCATTTCTGGGGAGTGAAACACTGCAGAGCAGTGGTAACGAGCGAGCCTACATGCAAGGAGCAAGTTCTGTCACCTGAGCCGTGTGACCTTAGGTGAATGATTGAACCTCTCTAGGCTTCATTTTCTTTATCTGTAAAGTACTGATCATAATAGCACTTCCTTCTTTTTTTTAAATTTTTATTTTAATATTTTTGTATGAGTGTATTATTGTCAAATCAGATCTGACTGGTACAGGAGGAGATTGTCCCTCCTTCCGCAGCAGAGGATCTGGTGGATTTGAACCGTGCTGCTTTGGGCTTGTAGTTGCAGCTCCTTACCACTAGGCCACCAGAGCGCCCCAATAGCACTTCCTTCTTATGGTTGTTACGATGAATAAGTCAATTGATGTTTTTAAATAGATGGCCTAGGTGAGCTCTGGTGGCCTAGTGGCAAGAAGCTGCACTGCAATCCCAGAGGTATGCGGTTCAAATTCACCAGATTCTCTGCTGGAGAAGGAACAATCTCCTCCTGTACCAGTCAGATCTGATTTGACGGTACACACAAAAAAGAATAAAATAAAAAAGTAGAATGAAAATAAAATAGGTGGCCTAGTGATGAGAAGCTGTGCTGCGATCTTAAAGATGCACGGTTCGAATCCACCAGACAGATGCTCTGCTGGAGAAGGAGGGGCAATCTTCTCCTGTGCCAATTTGATCTGATTTGATGGTACACAAGGGAAAAAAAAATACTTAACTTTTGTAACATGCTCACGTCTCTGTCCAACAAAGAGTAAACACCCCATTCCCCCCCTTTCTTGTTGTGTACCGTCGAATGGCACAGTAGGTGAATTCCTTCTCCAGCAGAACGTCTGGTGGATTCAAACCTCATGCCTTTGAGACTGCTGCGCAGCTTCTTGCCACTAGGCCACCAGAGCCCCATGTTTTGCAAAGTTAAAAATAAACAACACAAACAAAACTTCCAGTAGAAGTCTAAGAAGTGCTCAATAAATAGTAGCTTAAAAAAGAAGTCTATAAAGACAAACAAATATGGACTAATTTAAAACAAAAGTCCAAAGAGAAATATTCACCCCTGGAAAGTGGAAATCACCTTGAAGGTGTGTAGGTGGGACATCTCTGGTGGGCACTAGGGCCCGTGGCAGGTGGGCATGGGTGGCCTGAGAAAGGGGCGTGTGCAGAGGTGAACCCCCTGGGCACCACTTATCTCCTGCAGGTTTCGAATCTACTCGAACCAGTCTGCATTTGAATCATTGGCAGTGAGTAGGGGACGGGGAGGGTGGCAGCTAAGCCCACCCCAGCCTCTACTTCCTGCGCTGACGTCACCCTTCTTCTTCGCAGCTGATTCCTTTGCAAGTCCCCCTGAAGGCTATGCTGAACATGGGGGTGATGCGAATGCTCAATGGTAGGTAGGGCTGGGGAGCGAGGAGGGAGGGGAAGGTCAAGGTGAGTACAGCTAGCATGTACTGAACCTCCTGCTCCGTACCCCTACCCACAGAGCGGACCTGGGACCATGGGGTGCAGATCCCGCTGCCTGAGGGCATCGACTTTGTTCAAGAGGAGGTGAAGAACCATGCGGTGAGTGGGGGGTGGGATGGGAGGAGGCTGGAACCAGCCTGCCTTGGTCCCCGGTACCGTTTTCCAGGTCCTGAACTGTGGCTCCTGCCTTCTCGGCTGCCCCACACATCTTGACCCCATACCACTTGCCTCCTTTGGAATACACTTCCCAGATTCCACCCCAAGCCACTGCTGACCATTCTGCTCAGAGCCACCTCTTGCAGGAAGCTCTCCGTGACCCCTACAGGCTTCCTCAGCCTTTATTTTGGCACTTTTCACACACCACTGAGCTGCTTCATCTCCTACTAGATGGTGATTCCTCCAGGCAAAGGACCCCTCTCTCTTTCTCCCTCCCTCAGTGTTCAGTAACTGACTGAGCTCATGAAACCACCCTCTCTGTCCACTGCACAGGGCTTCCTCACCATCGGGGCTGATCTCCACTTTGCCAAGGGACTGCGTGAGGTGATTGAAAAATATCGGCCTGTCAACGACAGGGACCCCCAAACATCCAGTGCCCCTCCACCCTCCACAGCAGCAGACTGAACCCTCTGACTTTACCCCGGGAACGTCCATCCAGGACTCAGACCCTCTCACCGTTCCCTCTGTTCATCCCCTGTGAACGGCAAACAGCCTGCAGTGGCCCCTTAAGCCCCTGGTGCCATGGAGGAGACAAGGTTTTAAACTGTTTCAATTTAATTCCATAATCACAGTTGATCCATCCATTATCTAGTCTGCCCGCCCCTCCCCCTAGGGCTCTCCTGAGCTTAGCTGGGTTCCCAGGGTGGGATCAGTGCATTAGAAGAAGGCATTTGTTAAGCAGGGAAGGGGCCCAGCCCTCCCCAGGCAAGATCTGCAGTGGGAATAAAGTGCTAACTCCCTGTGGCTTGTCTACACGAGGCTCTGTGCTTGTCTGGGAAGGCAGGCAGGCCTGGGGGCAGGCAGGTCTGTGTGCAGAAAGGGGGCCCTCCTCCCTAGGAGGAGAGGGGTGGGAAAGGCTGGACCAGGCAGTGGGAGGCTGGTCCCCAAGGTCATCAGTATGGCTCATGGTTCAGGAAGCGAGAGAACATGGTGAAGGCAGCTTGGGGCTTGTCGGTGGGGACCATGTGTCCAGCGCCCTGAGGAGCAAAAGGTTATGGAGGTTTGGACCCCAGCATCCCAACCTTTAGTGCCCCTCGCCCGCTGCCTTCTTCCTTCTGGATCCCTCTGACCAATGAGCTGCTCCCCTCATCCTTTCCGAGGCCCTTGAACCTGTACCCCCAAGTCTGCCCTGACAGGGGCCGGATAGGAGGAGGCTGGAGGAAAGGATGAGGGGGTTCTGCCGCTGCCCTCTTGCCCCAGTCGGCCATGGCCAGCCCAGGTCCTACCTTGATGGTGAGGAACGCAATGTGGGAGAACTCCTTCACGAAGCCGGCAACCTGCTCCCCGCTCTCCCCGTAGCCCACTAACCAGGGCCGCCGCTGTACCTCCACCTGCCCCCGGGGGAAACGTCCTATCAGCCTGCAGCAGCTCAGGCCTCAGGAGCCAGGATGGCTCTCCAGGTTTCCCCTCTGTTAGTTAGAGCCAACCCCCTTATCCGCACCCCTTACCCCAGCCTCTCCGCCTTACCTTCTGATTCAGGGAATCCACAAACCACTCATCCCCCATGAAATTGCAGGCCATGTCCACATCGCCATTGTAGATCAGGATCCGGTATTTCTGGGGCAGGACAAAAGGAACTTACAGGGTCCTTCAACAAGCCCAGACTCAAGCCTTCCCCAGTTAAAATCTTTCCCCTGAGAGGATTTAAGGGACCCAGCTAAACAGCACCAATCAGAAATGCTCATGTTTTCTGCTTCCTATCTGTCTAGTTCTCCAGTAGATGTTTTACCTAGGAAGTCAGGTACCATTATTATCATCCTCAGTTTTTAGATGGTGATACTGAGGCTCAAGACAATTAAGAAACTTACCTGGGCTCCTGTGGCTAAGAACGGGACTTGTGTCCAGGCAATCTGACTCCAGAGCCCCTGCTCTTAACCACTGTGCTACACAGACCCTGTGTCTAACCTGACTCTGTCTGTACCTCTTATATGACCTCAGACAGGGTCTGTGTCCCCCTGGGCCTCCATTTGTCCATGGAATACAAGCCAACTGGCTTTCTTCACCCTGAAGACTCCCTGGGTAATGCAGAATCCTCAAGGTCCTCCAGCAGAGAACAGCCTGAGTTCAAATCCTGACACGACCAATTCCAGGACCCTGGGGAAGTGGCCTCCCCTTTCGGGATCACAGCATCCCCAGCTGCCCCAAGAGGAGCTCTCAAGGGAAGCCTGCCTTGCTCTGCTGCTCCAGGTCCTGAGGCTGCTGGTGAACGGCGGTGCTCCCCGACTCACCTGCGCGCTGAGCAGCTTGAGGTACTGGGCGTTCATGGTTTGGTAGATGCGGCGGTACTGCAAATTCACCAGGAAGCTGCCAGGAGCACATGGGCAGGGCCCCAGGAAGAGCAGGGGGGGAAAAGTCAAACTACTGAACCACGGCTCCTTTCCCTAGCTGTGGCCTCGGCGGTGGGCAGCTGGGCTTCAGTCCCCTCCCCAGTGACACTCCTGTATGAGGCGGGTGGGGGCGGGGGTGGGGTGCGGCTAGAGTTTGGAGGGGAGACCCTCGGCCCACGCCCACTTGGAAATGTGTAGAGACATTTTCTAGTTGTCACAATAGCTGGGGAAGCAGCGGGGACTCTGCCTAGGGCACATGTGAGTGGCTCTTTCCCTGCTGGCTCAACGGAGAGCTGGACATGTGGGCATGGTGTTGGCATGGGACTTGGGACGTCACTATTTACCAAACAGCAGAGTCGCCAACATGTGAAATAACTCTGAATGGCCATGTCAGAACAAACTGGCCAGATACCAATCAGGTCAGGGGCCTGAGATGTCTTTCAATGCCCACTGTGCCCCTTAGAGAGACACTGGCCAGAGGATCCCTGGCATTCCTCTAAGGCTGAGGCCCTCTGCCAGCCCACGGTGGTCCCAGAGTCTCACTTGCACATGTCCCACTTGGGCAGCTGCTGGGGGACGTGCAGGGCCTTCCGCACGTAAGGGTCATTGAGGTAGTTGGAGACGGCTGTGGTGTTGGTGCAGGGGGGGTCCAGGCGCACCTTATCCCCAGAACGCAGCAGTGCCTGATGCCACGTCCGCCTGAATGGCAGGCGAGTGAAGATGTTGCCCAGATCCTGGACGATGACGGTGTTCTCTTCGTTCCTGTGGTGGAGGTTGGGATGAGGAGTCCGAGCCTCTAGGTGTGGCTGGGGTGGGCCCAAGGGGCACACGGTAGGACCTACCTGACGTGGCCGGGTACTCCTCCGGCACAGGGGGCGTACAGGTTGTAGATATTGAGGCCAGACTTGCCCACAATGTTAGACACTTCGTTGAGCTGCAATGACACCACTTGGAGCTGCCATCTCTTTCTAATCCCGACCCCTCCATGACCCAATCAACTTGTCCCCAAAACTCAGCTTGCTTGTACTCCCCCAACTGCCTCCCACTTCCTCCACTTTTTTCACATGTAGGGGAAACTGAGGCACAAAAGAAGAAATGAGCCAGTTCTCAGTTCAAATCCCAACAGCGCTAGTTCCTAGTTCTGGGAATTGAAGAAAGTGACTTCAGCATTCTTAGCTTCAGTTTCCTCATGGAATGGACTCTGTTCTTCCTTGAAGGAAGATCCTGAAGATTATGTACAGAGTTTAGCACAGTGCCTGGCACCTGGCAGATGTCTGGGGAGTATGAAGTCCTTTCCCCCCTCTCATAGGAGCTGTAAGATTTACCCAGAAAGTCACATCCAGGAGCACGCACATATCATGTATCCCAGAGGGCACCAGGACAGAAAAGCCATGGGGGATGGGAACAGAGAGTCCCCAGGGAGTACATGGGGGTCACATGCCCAGGATACGGGGCAGCAAGGCTGACACAGAATCTCACATAGTTTATGCATTCCTTGTCTTTGTTGTCATAGAAGTTACACTGGTTTTGAGAGCAGCAATGGGTCTGGAGGGAAGACCAGAGCCTGTGGGTGACGAAGGTGAAAAGTACTTAGGGCCTGAGTGGGCAGAAAAGGAGAACATCCCAGCCCTTCCCTCTAAGCCCAGGTGGGACCTGATCCCAGACGGCCAGTATCCCAGGCAGTCAGTATCACTGGGCATGGGATGTAGGCACCAAATGTAGCTCCAAGGAGCTGTCTTTAGGCTACACAGCCGGCTCTCCATCCAAACCTAAATTAACCCACTTCCCTTAAATTGATTCCAACTCAGCAATCCAATAGGACAAAGCAGAACCACTCTAGAAGGTTTCCAAGGCTGTAAATATTTATGGGAACAATGTCATATCTTTTTTCTCATGGAGTGGCTGATGGCTCCAAATCACTTACTTTCTGGTAACCTAACCACGGCGGCACCAGGGCTCCTTCAGCCCTCCTGACCCAGTCAAACTCACAGACATCATGTTGATCCCAACTCAACCTTGATGGAGGTGGACTATGTTGTTTGGTTTGGTTTGGTTTTTCTCCCCATCAGTTCTCCTTTGTCTATGAATTCTGATCTCTATCCATTGGATTTCAGCACCAAACCTTCCAGCAACCCCAGCCCCCACTTCCTCCTCATAAACCAGGGCAAGATCCTGGGGTAACAGAGATCTGGAGAGGAGACCTGTGAGCTCGTGACTGCCCCACCCTGGAGATTGCCTAACTGCCTCTGTCCAATACCTGTTCCCCAGGAGACCATGGTAGTAGGCGAAATAGACCAGGGAGTTGTCATTCTGCTCATAGGAGGAGAGTCCATTGCCGATGGCCAGCCCCTGTGAAATAGCCAGCGGCATTCAGCCCATCTGGAAGCGGGGGAAGGAGCCTCCCCAGACCTACACCCAGACCTTTGGCAATCTGGAAGCTAAAGCTCAGGGTGGTTTGAGGCAAGAGTGACATTACTCAGTGTAAAAAAAATAGAACTGTGGGCCCCACAAGTGGTAGTGAGCTTCCTGTTGTAGAAGGCATTCATGCAGAGAAGTCAGCTAGTGGTAAAGGGTGTTATGAAGATTAGGCTGGAAGTGGGGGTGTGACTTTTCTAACTGCAAAGGCCCGATCACAGCTGCTCCCCGGCCCCGCCCCTCCCCACACCTGTAGGTTCATGCTGGGGTCTTGCATGACCAAAACAGCCAGGGTGGGAATGTAGACACCGGCATAGCTCTCTCCGGTCAGGAAAAGCTTGTTGTCCTTGTATTCTGGAAAGAGCTGGAAGAAATCCTTAAGGGCTTCATAATTGCTCTGGGCGACCTGGGAAAGGGAATCAAGAAGTTGATATCCAAGCTGGAAAGAACTTCAGAGATAAAGAGATTAGCTCACTCAGTGCAAGAGGAAGTGACTCCACACCACACGGCTTGTGGCAGAGCCCAAAACGGTTTCTCATCTGTCCAGCTTGTGAAAAGACAAGACGGTTGGGACAGAAGGTGGGTTCCACTCACGTCAGTGTCATTGGTCATATAATACTTGTCATCCGAGTAAGAGAAGCCCACTCCCGCTGGGGACTCGAGGTACAGCATGTTGGCAATCTAGAGGGGAGGAAGAAAGGACTGGAGACGTCCTTCACCCCATCCGAGCCCCTAGACCCTCAGCCACCCCACAGGACCCACAGCTGTGACTGTACCATATTCCAAGAATAGGGGTTGTACTGCAGGGTTGTGCCATCTGGCTGGATCTAAGAAGAAAAAGAAAAGGTATGTGCTGCAAATTTTCACTAAAATCATATTTTAAAGTTACCAAAACCCCCCAAACAAACTCAGAAATAAGAAGCCAATAAACAAACTAAAAAAAAAATACGAAGACAAAAGAACTCTGGTGGCCTAGTGGCAAAAAGCTTCATTGCAATCCCAGTGGTGGTGGTGGTTGTTATGTGCCGTCAAGTCTCTTGAGACTCATAGCGACCCTATGTACAGCAGCCTTAAACGCTGCTCTGTCCTGTGCCAATCGCAAAAATACGGAACGTTCCAGAGGTGCATGGTTCGAATCCACCAGATGCTCTGCCGGGGAAGGAGGGACAATCTCCTCCTGTACCAGTCAGATCTGATTTGACGGT